GAACAAGCCTCTTGAACCACCATTGTGGACATCAGGAGATCGCATAATTAGGACCTTGAAGGGATTTGGCTCCTCACAGCACAGTGTGAAATACGTAACTTGATTATTTTCATTTTTGTTCAGTTATATATCTCGGCTTTCCCACTGGTGGACTCATAGCGGCTTGCATTAGAATAGTTTATACTTTCAAAGGTACCTCATCTTATTAATACTTTGGGTGGATCTGTTCATATGAAACCAGTTGGTAGGTTGCCTGGTGATGGTGGTGGCTTGAAATGTGAATACCTCATATAGCATAATTCATAGAAAGATAATCAAAACCAAGTTCTCACCACTGTAATTACATTACTGGAAAAAGTGAATAGAAAGATTCCACCGGTGCCTTTAAAATACCTATGACTATGCAGTGGTGAGTGGCTTTATGCAACACATTTGCCATTTGGACTTGCCTCCACAGTGTATCAATTCAAGAGATCATGCATTTTGTGGATTTCTTATTTGACCTGTATCAACATTTAAGAACAAAATCAATTTCTCGACCTCTTAAGCACTTGGGGTTGAGTACAGATTCTAGTCCTTTGGGAATACTATTGCTTGGGAGGACAGAGCCAGGAGGAATAATTGTATTAGATAATCCTTGTAGTTAAGGAACCTACTGTCTGCAAATATCACTAATAAACAAGACTGAAAGAGGTCTGGGATAAGGGGGATAATTTGTGTGCTGTGGTGAGTGATACTAAGCAGCAAAGACTTGTCATATTCTCTCCCTATCACATTGCCTCCTTTTCAGTAGCTTCCACAATAGCCTCATCTATATTGACCATTTAATGGAGTTTCAAACCAGTACTGAAGAAAGCAGTTTCGCTGTGCAGATGATAACATAGGGCATCCTGGAACCAGTTTGGGGCCCAGACCCACAGTAAGGGCTTTCATAGACTTTTGTGGAAGTTTGTTGTCTAAATGCTGCAGTCTAAAGCTAGCTTCTAATTGCATTACATGGTCTGGGTAGATGGGGCAAATGTTTCATGAACTTGTGGAAGATAGCCAATAAGTAATTGGGTGAGTTGGTTGAAGTCTTTTTTGAATGTTGAGGTTGCCTCTTCACAGTTTGCTCTGCAAAGCTGTCTTCATGCCAGCCAACCAACAGGTAGTCTGCTAATGATTTTTCATCTCAACTGAAAAGCTTAGCTTCCTTTTAACATAAACAGGACATAGTTAAGCCCCACATCACAGAAAGCAACAGAGCAGCAATAAATGAAACATAGGGTGTGATTAGCTGCTAAAATTCCACAGTACCAAAAGGTTAGTACAGCTGGAAACCTTGACTCCAAGAGCAAACTATATTGAGCACACCTGATTTCCGCATTGCTGTGATGTGGTTCCACTGGCCAAACAATTTTCAAATCCAGATCTGTTGGCTCTGCTCACAGATGTCATTAGTTAAATAAGGGTGTGCAGTGTTGTAACACACATTCCAACAGTCCTGATTTGGAAGGAACAGTACTGATTATTCTACTGTCATTCCATTTTAGCTCCTTTTTAAACATTGCCATTTTCTCTCTCCTCCTCATTCCATTTTTGCCTTTGTCCTGACTTCAGTTGCTGCAAATTGAGTTTGATGTGGAAAAGTAGTTTGCACTCAAGTAAGGCAGGGAAAGAAGAGCACGAGGAGTCTTGCCCTTCCTAACAGACTCAGGCAAAAGCAAACTACTGCAGCTCTTCTAGTTTCTCTCTTCTTCCTCATTAATAATTATTGACCATACTCGATGTTGCTTAGCCACGCCTGGCCCACTTTTCATCTGTGAAATGTTGGACGATATGCCATAATATATTAACTGTTGAATTGTAACAAAAAACAAAACAGGAACACTCATGCTTCTTTTCACAGGGAAAAAGTTTTTTTGCATGTGTTCAACATTTGAGTGTTATGTTAAAAAATTATAAACATATTAGATAATACCTCTTCGTATCCAATGTCTTACTATCTCCATTCTCATTAAAACTACCCCATGCTTAGAAATAATGAAGGTTGAAATAAATTCATTGGAAAAGATTATACATTTGAATTAATGAACACTTTGAAATAGGAAAGTTTGAAAGTTAATTTCTTTCTGTTCCTAAATTTGTTTCAATACTTTTTTCTTGTTGCTCAATTATATTTCCTTTGGATACTAAACCAGTCCTATAGGTACTCTGGGGCCCAGGTTCAGCCTTTTCTGTGAAACAAGGAGGAACCTCTATACGTAATGCAAGACCCCAGAAATAAAAACAGAGCAAATAATTTCTGACTAAGGTCATCTGGTAAGTTTGCATTGTTTTAAATATAAAAAATGAAAAATGCTTTGGTCTATTATTTATTCCATGGGTGAGTAAAGATGTAGGTGACACTCCTGTTGGCTATACTATTTAGTAACATTGATGTGAAAATAATTTTATTTAAGTGCAGAAAGAAATCAGATTGGATCATAATTAATATTTTAGAAAGGCTCAGTTGTCCTAATATTAGGAGCAATCGAATTCCTGTGTGGAAGCCAAGCTCTCTATATGATGTTCACTGAAAATACAGATGGCGTTTTGTTTTTTTAAACTGTTGCTTCCGCTAGTTCCTAAAGCAAAGAAGTTTCTAGTCTATTCAGTGTAGATGTCTCCCAGAGAGTCTGGGAAAAACAAACAGGTTTGAAAGAAAGCTCTTTTTAGAATTTCTTTTTTGGCATACTACCAAACAAAAAGACTGTCTGTTTATTCTTGTTTCTGCAAAATTCTGGTTAAGTGAATGGCTAGATTTCCTTTGACAAAACAAAAACAGGGATTTCCCACTTAGTGGGATCAATCAATGGATTAAACCACTGTTTTTGTAGTTAGAGGATACCTATATAGAGGGATGGTGAACTCTTTGAGGTAGAAATTCATGATAAACTGAAAAAGAACTACCCTGGTTTCATTGGAGTAAAACATGGCAACCATCTACAGAAACAATCAAGCAACAATTACCCTACTTTGAATAAACCCCAAGTCAGCATAACATTTCCATGCACAAATGTATGCATGCCTCATTCTTGAAGGGACACCACAGAAAGACTAGGAAATGGATCATTAGACTCATTTCTCCTTTCCTTTCATCATGCTTGCTCATATATTTATAGGCTTATTGCCTCCAGATTTGATTGAACATAGAGACATTGTTTCAGACAGGCAAAGTGAGAGGATCAGGCATGTAGCCGGGGGGGGGGGGGGGGCTTGAGTGGCTTCAGCCCCTCCCCCGAAATTCTCATGGTGGTTCACAAAAAGGCCTTACTGGTGCATTACTTAAACTGTTATGTTTATTCATATCATGATCTGATCACCATACTCAATATATCCCATATGCATGGGGGTATTGGGGTAATGATACAAAAGGTTGGCTAGGCTAGACCCTCTTTCACTCAGACTCAGCCCCCCCCCGAAACTCAGCCCCCCGAAACCCCCCCTGAAAAAAATTCACCCCCCCGAAACGAAATCCTGGCTACGGGCCTGGAGAGGATTATCTAAATTCTGCATAGCCTGATACTAATCCTGATCACAATTAGCTATTTGTTATGAAATACTACTTAGGGTGAAGTGTGCTAATATTCTGCTCTTAATTTTTCAGTCCAGATAGACATTCTATAATGTTGTTGTTTGGATAAGATAGTCTAGGAACTATGCAACAACAGCAACAACAACAAATCCAGCCCACATTATTAAACAGAACATGGCAATAAAGCAATTGTATCTTTTTGAACCTAATCTGAAAACAAACAAGTTCCCTACCCCAGATGCTTCCCCATCTGTTTTCTGGGCTAACATCTTGTATCTTATATGCCCACTCTCAGGGTGCCTTTACTCTACGCATGGGCAAACTAAGGCCCGGGGTCAGATGTGCTCACCTGGATGCTTATGTCAGCCCCTCCTCATTTTTCTTGTCCTCTTGGCAGAAGGACACGGTGGCCCACCACATCCTTATGCCAAAAAGATGGAGAAAGAAGGCACGTAGCAGCTGAAAGCCCTCCGGAGCACTCTCAATTGCTGCCTGTCCCACCCTCCTGCAGACATAATGCCAAGAGGACAGCTGGAGGATCGAGGGAGAGGGATGGGGATTGGGACAGTCGCCACGTGTCCTGCCTTCCTCATGGCATATGGATAGGGCAAGCAGCCCTGTTCTTATACTGGGAGGACAACCTGAGGATGACCCAGACCCTGTCCTGGACCCTCCCCCTACCGGGCCCACCCAGCGTGTCCCCAGCCCAACTCCCTTCTGGCCTGGCCCTCCAGGTCAGCCCTGCAATGTGACCCCAAAACAAAAAAGTTTGCCCGTGCCTGCTCTAAACTGTAGAATCATGGCAGCTATAGTTTTACAAAACCTTTCTCTTCCAAATAGTGCTAGTACTCACCAAACTACAAATCCCAGGATTCCATAGCACTGAGCTATGGCAATTAAAGTGATGTCAGATTTATTGATTTATTTATTTACACCCCACCTTTCTCCTCATGGGGACTCAAGGCGGCTAACAATCACATACTTTGGTCACAATCCTTAAAAAGTGAATACAAAACTTAAATAAACAAACTAGTACTGTGTGGATTTAGGCTAAAATACAGTTAAAATATAATGAATACACTTACAAAAGCATTTAAAAATCACAACCTCCCCCACAGCCTCCCTAGTAGTGTTCCCTTTATCCTTTTCCAAATGCCTGCTGGCAGAGAAAGGTATTTTTATGCCAAATTGTATTAATTCTGCTATTTTATGATAAACTGAATTAACTCCACAGTGCAGATACACCCTCAGTTAACATATATTATGAACAAATGTCTATCTGCAATATATGGTATATCCCTTTCAACTTCCCTAATGACACAAAGGATTAGGGAAGTGTTCTCTTCCAGTGAAGGGATTTTGTGTTACCTTATTGGTCAAAGTGTATAGTGCTTAGATATCTCTCACCAAGTTAGGATGTTAGTTTACAATGCCTCCACCTTACCTTCCCCATTCCAGCATGAGCATGTCCCAGCTTGACAACAACAGGGAACGCTGGAGTTGTGAGCTGAAAAATAAAACAATACATCGTTATTTTCAATGTTATTATTTTCAAACTTATTTCACATGTGCAGCTGGATCTCTTGGCTATTGGAAATGCATTTTCCCATTGTCATCTAATCACATGTAGAACAGGGCTTTCAGCAAGCACATCTGCAGTGGAAGATAAATGTCAAAACCAGCTTGGGTGGCAGCTACCTCTAAGTGGCTTTCCACTGGGTTCCGCGTGCCTAGGAGTTTTAGGCACTCATCCTGATAAGGGAGACTATAGCTTAGGAGGGAAAGATGGCTGCAAAGCAAAGATCAAAACTTCAATTACCATGCTGGGGTTGGCCCTGATGCCAATTAGACCCATGCACACTCTCCGGAGGGTATGAAAGACATGGAAGTTCATTACATATTTGCTACATACTTTGCTATACAGCATAATTTCAGATGATGAAGCACAGAAACAGAGTAAATAAATACAATGGGTTTTTTTTTAAAATATAGTCTGACTAGGCTATCTATGTCATACACAGGACATAATGCAGATTTAGCAGAAAGAGATTGGGGGTTCATAGATTTCTAAACACTATGTGGAAGCAGTATTTTTCTTGGTCTTATCAACAGAAGAAACTTCTGAAGATAATTTGGACAGGCAAGTTTTTGTATATCCTGTCCTAACTTAAGACTCTCTTGCTTGTTATTAAGTTTGTGTGGGACTGGAAAAATCACCCTTGAATGTTCATTGCCTTAAAAAAATCCTATTAAGTTCATGGGGCTACCATAAGTCGACAGGTGATTTGAACGCACATGCACACAAATGCAATTTTATGGTGTTCAGTATACTTAATACAGTTCCTCATGCTGTGCTGACACACCCAACCATAACATTTTCATTGCTACTTCATAACTATAAGTTTGCTACTGTTATGAATTGTAATGTAAATATCTGATATGCAGGATTTATTTCCATTCACTGACCCAAATTTGGCACAAATACCCGATATGCCCAAATTTGAATACTGGTGGGGTTGGGGGGGGGGGGAATTGATTTTGTCGTTTGGGACTCTAGTTGCTGGGATGTATAGTTCACCCACAATCAAAGAGTATTCTGAATTCCACCAACGATGGAACTGAATCAAACTTGGCTCACAAAATTCCCATGATGAACAGAAAATACTGGAAGGGTTTGGTGGGCATTGACCTTGAGTTTTGGAATTGTAGTTCACCTACATCCAGAGAGCACTGTGGACTCAAGCAATGATGGATCTGGACCAAATTTGGCATGCATACTCAATATACCCAAATGTGAACACTGGTGGAGTTTGGGGAAAATAGATCTTGACATTTGGGAATTGTAGTTGCTGGGATTTATAGTTCACCTACAATCAAAGAGTATTATTTACCCCACCAATGATAGAATTGGGCTAAACTGCCCACACAGAACCCCCATGACCAACAGAAAATACTGTGTTTTCTGATTATTTTTGGCGTCTCCTCTGACACCCCCCTCACAATCCCCCAGGGGTCTTGACCCCCAGGTTGAGAAACACTGATCTACTGTGAACTGAACAGCTAAAGTAACTGGAAACAAATGGTTGTCAATTCTTCCTGTTAAAGGCTGTGTAGTAGGCATGGTTACCAAGTTTCAAGTGATCAGCCAAAATGTCAGCTTTAAGGTACCCTTTCAGCCTGTGAAGAAGGGTAAAAAACCTCAGGGTGAGTAATAAGATTTTTTCGGGGGGGGGGGGGGGGGGGGGGGGAGAAAAAGTTTGATTTTTCCATCTCTACCTATTCTCAGCTGGCACCAGAATTCCCCAGGTCATTGCTAAGGCGATTACGCCTTGTAGCTAGAATTTTTGTTTTCCTTGGACAGAAAGATTTGAAAATGTTATTTTGATTTTAATCACTAATTATTCATTTCAATATGAATTTAGTATGACCTAAATATAAATGATGGTTATCTCCATCTGCAGCAAGTTCTATATATAATTACAGTTCTGTACATTGTTTGTCATTAAATCTCTTTTTTACACACTTCTCTTATAGCAGGAAAGGTTAGACAGATGGATGATGCTTAAATGTGTAATATTTCCTATGACCAAGGATGTCTCTTGGAGAAAAACACACAGAATAAAAACAATTTATGGGTTCTAGCTAGGACATCACACTGACAATCTCACTGGCAACGAAGATCCACATAGTAAAAGCAATGGTATTCCCTGTAGTCACCTACGGATGTGAGAGCTGGACCATAGGGAAGGCTGAGCGAAGGAAGATAGATGTTTTTGAACTGTGGTGTTGGAGGAAAGTTCTGAGAGTGCCTTGGACCGCAAGAAGATCCAACCAGTCCATACTTCAAGAAATAAAGCCCGACTGCTCATTGGAGGGAAGGATATTAGAGGCCAAGATGAAGTATTTTGGCCACATAATGAGAAGACAGGAAAGCTTAGAGAAGACAATTATGCTGGGGAAAGTGGAAGGAAAAAGGAAGAGGGGCCAACCAAGGGCAAGATGGATGGACTCCTTGAAGTGACTGGATTGACCTTGAAGGAGCTGGAGGTGGTGACAGCCGACAGGGAGCTCTGGCATGGGCTGGTCCATGAGTCGGAAGCGACTGAATGTACAACAACAAGCTAGTACATATTCAAATTCTTATTGTCTAAGCCTTACTCAACTCTCAACAACATCCCCACACATCATGCACCATGAAGCCAACAACCTTAGGCAGCAGAGTTTGGGGTATTGGGACATCTCCTGAGGCATTAGCTGCTCACCTTCAAGTGTTGGAATGAGAATCAATTGCCAGTCAGTTGGCTTCTATACATAGGGGAGGGCACCATCTTGTCCTTTGCCTCGTGTAGGAAAACTTGCTGGGCAGCCCTGGCACAACCTATTTCAGTGAAAGGATCCTGAGGTATATAAGTGGGGAGGATTACAAGCAAATTGCCATGCTTATTCCACATGTGAGATGCCTGCAGCCAAACACTGTACCCTAGTAGAGTACATGTTTTGTACGCAGGAGGTCTCAGGTTTAATCCCTGGTTTCACCCCAGGTAAATGCGCTGCAGGAGCATCCAACCAGTCCACAACCCAGTGGCACAGTGGGTTAAACCAGTGGGTTGCTGAACTTGCTGACTGAAAGGTTGGCGGTTTGAATCTGGGAAGCGGGGAGAGCTCCCACTGTTAGCCCCAGCTTCTGCCAACCGAACAGTTCAAAAACATGCAAATGTGAGTAGATCAATAGGTACCGCTCCAGCAGGAAGGTAATGGTGCCCCATGCAGTCATGCCAGCCACATGACAAGCTCTTCGGCTTAGAAATGGAGATGAACACCACCCTCCAGAGTCAGACATGACTAGACTTAATGTCAAGGGAAAACATTTACTTAAACACGCTGCAAACGATTACTGCTGATACTTCAGATCAGTTCTAATAGTAAAGTGGGTAATATAGGTTAAACAAATAAATGATTTGCCTTAATATAAGGTACCATTTTATGAGATGATTACTGGCAGAAAAATAAACCAAGCTGCAACAAAACAGTCTAGTTACTGGGCCTGTTTATTTGTCACGCCCTCTCCCTGATAATGGTTAAGACTACATAAACATTTACTACAGATATCACAAAACAACCAGGACAGGTGTTGTGCAGCCTGCTAGATGTTGTTGCACTGCAGTTCGCAGCATTCCTTATAATTTGTTCTGCCCGCTAGGACTATTGGGAACTGCAGTCCAACAATAACTAGCCACACAATTCTCACCTTTTAACTAGAAACCACGGTTAAAAATCACACTAAAACAGAAAACGTCCAGGGATTGTTTAAAGCCATGGATGAATAAACAAGAACATCTCCCCATGCCCAAAAGAAGTTATTGGGGGAAGCAAATCAATCAGTGGGGTGCTGATTAATTTCATATAAACAGGGGGAATGGATCTCCATCCAACTCTGTGAACGTCTACTCAGACACTGGTGTTTTTCATTTCCCATGCTCCCTTGAATTCTTCTCCTATGGGATCCCCTACTCTTCCTGGAGTAGATGCTGAAGATATAGAAGTCTCCAGGGAAGGGCCACTATATTAGCCTTTGACTGCTGGACAGCCAGACAAATTTGGATGCAACTTTTTGTCCTGAGCCTCTAAAGATGAACTTATAGTTTAAGTAGTTGCATATGGGAGAAGGCACTCTTCTAGGAGTGTGACAGTCTGACCCTGTCTTTCCCTCCGCCCCCAGCTCTTTTCTCAGACAAAAGTCCAAATGTGTTCAGTGGGGCTAAGTCTCAAATAATTGTGGGTAATATTTCAGCTTTAGTGGTTTGTTTTATACATGCAGCAAGGGGTATGACAACCATCACAAGGGTGAAACTGGAATTGCCGGAGCCAAGGACTGTGTATTTATATAACCTCAGTCACAATTCGCATGGGAGGGTGCTGAATATTATTAAGAGAGGGCATTGCAAGAGTTTAACCAGAACAAACATGTTTGTACCGAAATCATGGATAAAATAAACCAGTGAACTTCAGAATATTTGTTTTTTTAAGATTGCTTTCATAAGAGAACCAGGAAAACAAACAGGATGATATCATCTGAATTTTCTAAATTGCCTGCATTGATCACACAGACAGAGTGTGGTGGGTCTGTGGATTAAGAAATGTCAAAGATGAATAAGTCAAGCCTACAAAACCTACAAGCCCACAAAAACACCAGTCATTTCAAAGTACAAAGTTTTTTCTATCTTCCACATTATCAAAGTGTATAGCATGTTGACTTCAGATGTTTTGCTGTCTAACGCAGAGCCCACATCCCCACATCCCCACTACTACTAATCTGCACAACTAGCAATGCTTTGCTTCATCATTGTCTATTTATCCAGTGATGCCATATGAAACAGGCTGCTTTATTTTGCTGCTTGGCAGAGCCAACCCCGAGGATGAAGGACAATACACTGTCCTTCATTCCACTCCACATTTAGGGGAGTCATGGACATCATACTCTTTAACATTTCATAGAGGAACCTTGTG